AAAGAAAGAAAAGAAAAATCCAATCAATGCTAAGATGTCAGGTAAAACTATAGACAGCAGTAGTGGCATATAATCATTAGAGAGAGATAAATTAAAAACACGGTTTCATTGTAATCAAGACTGATGGTTATGAATTTTCTTTAACTTTCAACAAAACAATAAAAGGTATATCTGGAAACATGTTCGTTCGATATTGGTCTCCTGTTTGAATCGGTGCATTTAAAACATACACTCATCGTGGACTCGTGGTTTATCTATTGCTTATCATATATTGGGGGGAAGGGGAGGGTGGGGTGAAATATCGTAGGTTACGTTGTTTTCAGTATTGATCAGCGAAAGGCGTTTGATGCATGTATCACCGAGTCCGGAGGTCACACAGCTCGTCTCCCTGTGTGTCGGTCGACCGTTTTTGACTCAATCTGTTATATACAAATCAGAGTCTTTTGTTCTTGACATCTGCTTCGGTTTCATTTTCACAAATATTTTCGAAACTGCGCTTTTAAACATAAAAGTTGATATCACCCGTACACAACAAATAAGAAAGTTATCTATTATGGAGTAATTTTTTTCAAATAAATAAATAAATGAATAAATAAATAAATATAAAATGATAACTCTACTTTAATAAAAAATAATCACTTTATTGGAATTCGCCCATTAAATGGAATTCACCCTTTACCCACCAGACTATGTTTATGTCGGAATAATCCTGTTCACAGTAACAGACGATACATTAAGTTACATATTTTGACAGTTTGCATTCCTCAACATTCTAAAAACATAACCGGTACATTGACAACCTTATTACTGAAAATTAAGGCCAAATATTATTTTCCCGACCATTTGTGGATCGTTTCTGAACAGTCTTCTAAATATCTACTAGGTTGAAATCCTCACATGCAAGATACAATTATTAAAATTCTCTTAAATGTCAAAGACAAAATATCTACTTTACGCCAACTTAGAATTTTTAAGACTTCTTCATATTTGAATTAATATCAGTGAGACAAATCAACCGCCATATTTGGGAAAATAAAAGGAAAAGGGGGTAGCAGTACGCCTACACATCATTGGATGCGTTAGGTGGACTGCTGTAAATACTGCTGTCGCACAACTAACGCAACAGGCCATTTAAATCATCTTTTAAAGGTTTTCAGTAGTCCTCCATTTTCACTAATCTTAGGTCTGAGCAGTACAAAATTGTAATCCAAAAGCGTAAACCAAATTTTAGGCCAACTCATTTTGTGACAGAGGTAATATTCTGAGCTATCTGGTTGACTGATAGAATTCATATCAGAAGATGAAAATACAAGGAACTCTCTATCCACTAATCTGCTACATCCCTAGAAATACTTAATATTCTTACATTACATGAATCATTATGAAAATGTGCTATTAAGTTCTTGCCTATGTGGACAGAAGATAAAAAGATAGAATAATGAGATAGAGTTATGCCTAATTTCCTTCTTTTTTTAAGGATTTAAAGAAGTGCAATAGTGGGACTAGGACAGACGAAACCAAAGTCTTTTCTACATTAGTAATGATCATATATGTGGAGTTTCATGTTAGCTTGATATTTAACCATTAAAATACTTGTCACAGTATTGAAAAAAAAAAATCATTGAACAAAGATTGATTGATTTATTTTAAAAAGGTATTCCATAATAGGTTACTTTCTTATTTGTTGTATCCGGGTGATACCAATTTAAGTGCAGTTGCAAAATATTGTAAATGTGAAATATAAACGTATGTCGAGAACAAAAGAATCTGATGTGTATATAACATACGCCCAAGATTGAGCCATAAAAGGAAGGCAACAAGCTGGGTGTTACGTCTGTGCCCGGTGATACACGAATTATACACCTTTCGTTGATCTGCATTGAAAACATTATGCGATGTGTCTGCGGTATTTCCCCCCTCCCCCCAATAGCAATAAGCAATAGATGAACCATAAGTCGACGGCGTTTGTATGGTTTAAATGTACTGATTGCAACAGGAGGCCAATACTAGGCTCAAACATTTCCCTCGTTAACGTTTTTTGTTTTATCTATTTATTTATTTATTTTATTTTATTTTATTTTTTTGTTACGGTACTACTTAACGAGTCACCTTCTGATACATCCGCGTGGTGGTGGTGATGGTGGTGCATCTCATTAACAAGAAAGAGTCATTAACAAAAATCTGGTCACAAAAATTATTTCTCGAATTAAGCTAATGATTTCTGTTTTTCGTGCTCGTGGGTTGTATTTTTTAACAACGTCATTTAAAAGGCCACAAAACTCAGTATTAGGTCCTTTATGAAGCCAGCAAACATTGCACGCGACGTAAGTAACTAATTATATGACGTCCAAATTCATTCACAGTATTTTTACTATTTGCAGACTGTATCTATAAGTCTTTATAAAGGCCACATATCTCCGCATTAAGTTTTTTTGTGAATTGCCGACATACGCGACAGACTGAATCAGAAAAGGTCGGCCGAAACAAGCTGGGTGTGACGTCCGGATCACGCATCATACACCTTTCGCTGACTTGTATTGAAAACATTTTGTGACCCGTCTGCTGTTTTTCACCCCTCCACCAAAAGAAAAAAAAAAAAAACATCGTGTCGACAATGAGTGTATAGTTCAAGTGATGAAAACGGGAAAACCAGTATTAATCGAACATGATTCTAGACAAACCATTTATTGTCTTGTTAAAATTAAAAAAAATTACATAACCGCCAGTCTTGTTTACATACCATATAACCCCGTCCTTTGATTTATCTTTCTGTTATGTTTATATGCCAGTAATGCTGTATATAGTTTTACCTGACACCTAAGCGTTGACTGGATATGAACATGATAAAAAATTTAAAAAACATTGTTAATATCATAAGTAGTAGTGTTTGCCATAGAGCACCTCAGACCTCCCAGAAACACCCAATTTGTCTTCTTTCTTCTTTTGTCATCCTTCTTATACCCGTTAGGGTGTCGAGGGGAGAAACAGTTTGAGTTTTCTTTCTCTGGCGAGTTGGAATGCTTGGTTGAGTGGCTTAATTTGTCACCCGCGTCATTTATGGCTATACATGTTTGTTAATATTCCAGACTAATGTCGAAGCAACGGTAATAAATCCTGTTTGTGCCTCGTTGTTTGAGCTAAAATTTATAGTTACACAAGTAAATGATACACATTTGCTTAAACTTTATCAGGCATGATCTCCCCAAGCTGGATGACATTTTTAAAGACAGAATTGAGAAAAGAACTGTAAACACCATGGAAGACTCTCTTCTCATCCTGCATCATCAATTTTTACTTTTTTCACCAAGCCATAGTAGACTCTTAACTTTTAAAGGCAGCAAACGCTTTTAAACAGCTTTTATCCAAGTGCAGTAACGCAGTTACATTTGATCTCAAGTATTCTTCATTAATCTATTGTATTACTTTTACTCTGTATATTATCAAACTTGCTCCAAAAGGAAAATAGTTTCCAGTTTTTATAATTGGCTAAATAAACTCTTATCTTATCTCTTATCTCATCTTTTAATTGTTAAGAATTTTATGCTTTTATGGCCGATTGGTGAGAGGCTAATTATAATCACTGGTCTACCTAAGACCCCATCTCCGAGATTAGATCGATCCAACTAGATCGACCTAACTCCCTGGGGGTTCACACTAAATAGCTGTCAGCCGAGCGGGAACGAAAGTTAATTACCCCCTTACAGCTTGTAGTAGGCGGGACGGACATTTAAGCCGGATTACCTGACAGTAATCTAGTGAGACTCCTCACGGGGATAGATCGATCTATCCCCGTGGGGAGTCTCACTAGATTACTCCCCACGGGGATAGATCGATCTAAATATGGGAATGCGCCCTAAGACACACACATCTGTTTCAAATCGTACAGTTCATCTCAACAAATTCCACCTCTTATACATTCACATGCACGGCGACGCCAGCGACGGCGATAACACTGATGTAGACAATAGACGACGGGGGTAACTGAATATATGACGTCCTGGTGCATTCAGAGTATTTTAATAGCAGGGTTTATCTACGCTTTTATAAAGGTCACAAATCTCCGTATTAGGTTTTTTGTGAATTGCCAACATATTTCGCACACGGCACAGATCACTGAAGTTAAGACGTCCTGGTTCATTCACAAAGGCCGAATTAAGTTCAAGACTTACGTGATTTTCATGTGCCAGGACAGATAAAAAGGCGTCCTCCATGAAAAGG